GTTGAACAGAAGTCAGCAAACTGTGAAATGATTTGTGTGAGCGCAGTTGAGTGGGTCAGAGGGAGCGGAAGAAAGGAAGTGGGTGGCCATGTGCCTAAGACGCCGCTTAACGATCAAACCGCAACGTAGAGCGATCTAGAGCTGCTCCCTCCCAGCGGGGGTGGGGGGGGCACTTTTGTTTGTTCTTTTCCATTTGGGCCTCGGCGGATCCTCCCATTCCACCGCTGCTGTTTGTTTTCCAGAGACGTCCTCGCGTCTTCATTCATCGGAGCCGCTTTAGCGCGTCTCCGCCTCCTCGCTCTCGGGCAGCAGCCGCGCTGCATAAATTATGCAGAGTGCTTTTTCGTCAGGCGGATGTGGGGCCGCGTGCCGCGAGTTGGCAGACGGCGTTTCGAGACATCTACGCCTTTGCCGCGTGAGGCCTTGGGAAGCCTCGCTGCAGGCACGCGATTCGATCAGATGAAGATCAGCAACCCGACAGCGTGGATGGAATAAAACCTTCCACAAGTAGCCCGGTTATTCTCACAGTTTGAGAAGAACCTGCCGCACGATGGAAAGTGATTTGCGAGCTGCAGACTTCCTGCTTCACGGTCGGATCGCAGCGGCAGCTTGGGAAATGAAGAAGGAAATCAATGTGCACGAAAAGGTCTCCTCCTGTCAGTCCAGTCGTTTCCAGCTGAGAGAGTCAAAATATTGGGAAAGGATGATTGAAGACTTGTGATGTTCCTCCCAATCTGCAGCCACCGCACCCGGCGTTTGTAGATGCCCAAAGTGCATTTGTCTCCCGTTATTTGCAATCACGGTCAATGCGACTATGTGCAGCCGCCGCTTAGAAAGAATCAACTTTTAGCTTTTAGCATCAGACGTCTCTCAGGAATCAAGAATCAGGAAACATTTATTGGCAAAACATGTCAAACATACAAGGAATTTGTCTTGGTGGTTGGTGCGTGACAGCAGACAGTGTAACAATAGACAGCAGTGCACAAGTAATAAAATAAAGTAAAATGAAATGCTAATGCAAAGGGTTAGTAGAATAAGGCTATGGGTTAGTATAAAACAAGGGAATAAAGTCAAAGTTAAAAATTTAAAATATTAAAAAAAGTTCCAAAAATATTGAGCATAAAGTGCACTAGCGAACAAGTAACAAAGTGACGAGTGACGACAAAGTGATGAATTACAGTTTGTTTCGTCGCGAACGTGTGCGTTCGTCGGTGGGCGCAGTTTGAACTCCGGCCCTTGAAAATAATGTTTTTCAGAAATAACAAAGCACTAAACACACGCCCACGTAGCGCCGACGGGCGGCCGGTTTACGCCGTGATGAGTGCAACGCAACGTTTTATACCCACATTGATTTGAGAGGCTGAGCTGTATCTGCTGTATCACTTGGTTAAAGCGATAGTTATGAAGTCGGGTTCAATGAGCTACTCATCCACTCTGACTACAGTAAAGTTTGGTAAAAAAAAAGGGGAAGCGGTGCGGAACCAGGCGCAAAGTGATGACCTGCAGAAAGTATGTTCAAGCCTCCTGAAAGATTTGTTTTATGCAATATGTGCTGTCTGAGTGGGGAGTGAAATATATCAATGCTCCTTTCAAAGCCATCCAATAAAAAGACCTCCGGCTGAACCAGAGTAGAACCTGGAAAATATCGGAGGAGATCTGTGTTTCACAGTTGATTTATGTTGTATTTCCTTTTCTGTGTCCTGGTTGAGTATTTGTCTGCAAATACGGATACAACTTTTGACTGCATCTCAAACTAAACCGGTAAAAGTAAACTAACGACTTCTAGGATTGTATGACAGACAGGACGAGACATTTACAAGTTGTCTTTGATATTTTCCCTTTTCCCCACAGAGTGATGGCACAAGTATCAACTTAAATCGAACACTTTAGATAAGCATCTTCCTAGACGGAGCAACGTGTCCTGGCGTTCAGGACAAAGTGAAAAAGATGATGAGACTCGCGTGTCGTTTTGTGAGATAGTGATGGAGGCAGAAGAGGTCGGTTTGCAGACGCATGTTCAAAAGCTGCCAGGTAGGAATTATTCCTCTGTGGTCTCGAGAAAAAACGCGTATCTTTGCGGCCAGGCGGCATCAAAAGATTCTCACAATGTCGCCCACCGAGCTTTTAGATCTGGCCGTTATTTTCGGAGCGCACCAACCCGAAGAGATATCCAATAAACTCTTTTCACAGGGGTTGCTGCTACGAAAACGGCGTTACGCAGGCAGGCAGTGTGCACTCGTTCAGGACACCACAGGAGGTCCTCGGCAGCTGAGGTGCAATTTGAACTGCAGATAGATTTTCTGCCCAGAATCAGGTGGCTGTGGATGACGCCGTCACCTGTCCAAATAGAGTCGAGGACGTGTCCTAAATGTACGGAGGAGAGACATAATAGCAAATGTTTGTCAACGCCCAAAATCACGAGGAGAATTTTGAATTAAACCGCAGCTGTCGAAAATGATATTAAGAGACACAAAACAACGATGGATCGATCATTATTCGATGAGCATTTGGCCGTGCAGCCAAAGCCGGATCCATCTTAACTTGATTGTGCTCCGCAGAACTGCCTTGTCTACACATAAGAAGCCATCGGCGAGCCACACCTTTGCACCCGGCGACACGCCGCTCCGCTCTCACAGCCGCTGCACTTCCGTGCCGCCCGGCTTCCGCGTGGATTCAGTGAGTGCAGAGCGGGTTCCCGTGCAGAGCGGGTTCCCGCGCAGAGCAGGCGGCGAGCGATCACTCGGCCGGTGACGTCACGGACGACGTTTCCTGCTGCACACACCTGCCGCTGTGTGCTTGAACGCGTCTTTGATACGACATTGTGAACACGCGTCACATGGTCTTTGTCGTAATCACGTCGCAGAGAGTTTTGTCCTGCACGGATGATTAAACAACCACACAGCCGGAAATACGCCGCCTGATGTTTTATTTTGTGGCTCCCCGGAGCCGCTCAGTGAAAAAGGGTCGCGGGCGTGCGAGCAGTGCGGCGGGCACGCGGCCGCTTGTTAGTTGTGGCAGAATAGCGCGTGTGTTTTGTGTGCACTCCCCCCCCCCCCCCCCCCCCTCGAGTCCCCCGACTCTCTGCACTAACGACCCTCCGCCTGGTCCCGTCGGTCCCCGGCGGACACACACACACACCAACACGCACCCACATGCAAAGCAGACGCACTTAGTTCAAATGACAAGTTCAAATCACACACACACACACACACATTGTTCCTTGGATGTGCACGCTCAAAAGGCTTTTATTCTCCTTTGTTTGTCTATGAACGAATTGATTGATTATAGCAAAAGCCGCGACGGCTTTTGCTGGGGTCGGGGTCATAAATCAGGGCCACACCGAGAGACACGTGAGCTTTATGGCTGTTATAAGTTATATATATATATATAGATCTCCTACTTTGCTGATAGGATTGCAGAATGTTAGTAGATGGATCCGATCTGACAGGCCTCCAGATGCAGTTCCCCGTGCAGACGGCCTCTCCATCAGCTCTTAACCGCTGCAGACGCGCATCGGGCGGTCGGCCTTCTCCTCCTCGGCAAACAGCTTCAGTTCAGTGGAGAAACACTCCAGAGAAACATTTCTTGGGGCGCCGCTTCGGGTTTATCAGTCAAATTTGTCAATGAGGGAACAAACAATCCCCAGAAAATGGCCCCCGTGCGCTCCTCCATGTGTGCGCCGTTATTTAAGAAGGCACATAAAATGTGGTGGGAACGTGTTTTTCTTCTGTCCAAAATGAGCTATTGACATCTGGGGGGATAAAAGCTACTCTGCAAATACTGCACACCATGTGATGTGTAAATGTGTACTGCTTCATTTTTAAAGTAATGGAAGATCTTGTTGGTTTATTTGTTGGGTAAATATTTGGCTTCTGCAACGGAAAACCTCGTCTTCAGCATCTCGTCTTCAGCATCTCGTCTTCGCTACGATGTCTCATCCGCCAAACGACACGGAATTCAACAGCCAGTCGTGTTTATTCACTCAGTCGTCGGACTTATTTACTTTACTTATTTACTTTATTTAGCGTCCCTTTTGTCTTTGCGTGTTCGTAAAGCTCTAACGTGCGTTTTAACATGCAAAGGCTCATGGGTAAAGACGTCGCTGCTGCCTTCTGGCTGTGAGATATACGCGTTGAAGGCAGGAGAGTGAGACTGAAAGGCCTTAGAAATGTCTTTTTAAATTTATTAATTTTTTTTAAAATGTATACATATATACAGGGTATATATTTTTTTTAATTTATTTTTCTCTTTTCTTCCCCCCCCATTTCTTTTTGTGCCTACGGGTATGTATTTATGTATGTGTATATATGTACGTGTGTGTATGTCTGTGTCTGTGTTGAAAATGCAAAAACAAAGTGATTTAAAGTGCCTGCAAATACTAGTGTGTGTTACTAGTAGACTGCGGACTTATTGCATTATAAAGGAATATCTGATTTAGTTTGTTGCCTATTCGTCTTCCTGGATATTCCTACTGAGTCACAGCTCTCTCTGACTCCCGTTATCTCTCAGTTCACCTTCTCTGGCTCTCCAGTCTCCGGTATGAATCTGTCCTTTTTCTCTGTCCTCCCTCGGACGTCTCTGTCTTTATCGGGGTTTGGATTTCTTTCTCGACGGGTGTTTCGTTTCTTTCCGTTGTTCTTTCAAACATCGGTGCCGCTGGCTGACGGAGAGCTAGTGAGCGATAACGCGGCTCGTGAGATGATGCACTCTGTTTGCCCGGAGCGCCGGCCCCCGGGGGGGTCGGGGGGGGGGCCGGCTGGAGATGGAGATGCGGCGAAGAGCAGCTTCTAAATGGACTGTTGTAGATCGCATCGACCAGACTGCTTTTAATCCTCGTGGAGTTCTGCGGTAGCAGACCTTATGTTTCACATGATTAGCTCTGCACAGGAAATGGGTGCAGCTCTGATAGCCTGTGACACACACACACACACATATATCTATATATATGTACAGTACACATTTTGTTGTGTATTTACCAGGTTGCTTTTTTTCTTCCCCAGATGTACAAAAATAAAGTGCTGGAACTGGGAGAGAAGCTGCTGCCGGCCTTCAACACGCCAACAGGAATCCCCCGAGGAGTCATCAACCTGGGGAGGTGAGTCTCGGCGCCGGCCTTCCTCCGTCCAAAAGTCCTCCGTCGAGTCAGTGCGCTTTTATTCACCCCGACAACCAGCGCCGGGCCGGGGTCAGAAAAGGTCAGAGGGGCGTAACCACTGAGGGAATCGGCCGATGTCGTCTTCTACGCTCCTCTGAAATGACACATGAAGGTGACAGACGCTCGTTTATTGACGATGGAGCAGCTTTACAAGGACCCAAACATTCAGATGAGAATTAAATCTGTGTTCACAAATACACCGGAGGATCGTTTGGATAATATTTGCTTGCGTTTTAAATGAGTTGTGTTCATTTCTAATCTGTTCCATTACATATTTACCCAGACGAGCTCGTTAATGCCGCGCGATCGAGCAGTCAAACAGTCGACCGCGAGTCTCTCCGCGTTTGGTTTGATTCTCTTAAGCAACGGAACGTGCGACTCACTGTTTTAGATTAAGCAAGAACGTGACGCGTCAGTGACTGACAGTCAAATTATCATCGCTGGCTCACATGCAAACCAGCGGGAGAAAGTTCAGTCGATGATTCCGCTTAATGGTCCCGTGAGTGGATCTGAAATGATAAATCAAACGCGGCTGAAGTGATTTGGCCTCATTTTAACCGTCAAAAAAGATTTCTGTATTTCCTCCAGCTCGGCCTCTCGTTGCCTGATCTTACTTGATAAAATACATCGTGGCGCCGCCGCCGTTCACCTGCTGCAGGGGAGGTCACCTCTGCTGCTCAGCCTGTGCGTTTGTGGGGAGGAAAGGACTGTTTGTGAATCACTTGTTGCTGTTTGGAGTCTTTTCCTGCTTCTTTCTGTTGTTTTTTTTACCCAAATGTGGTCTAGTTCTCAAGTAGTGAAGTTTTTATTGGACAGTAAACAGGTTTTGGTCTGATTTTGGAAGCCATTTTAATATTAAATTATCCAAAAAAACAAACCGTTTACTCTGCCTAATCACGGACGAAAGCATGAAAACAAAATTTCCCCCCTAAATGTACGCTGAACACTTTTACACACAGCCCCCTAAATAAAGAAAACATTCTAAAAAAGCCCTTTAAGATGCTGGAGGTGGTCCTAATGGCACTTAATGCCTTTAAATTGAAAGATTATAGTTGTGTGTGTGTGTGTGTGTGTGTGTGTGTATACAACCAAACACTTCAATTATTTCAGCTCTTCTGTAAAGATGCACAAAAATTCCAATTTCCGAGGACATATAATGCGCGACATGCGTTATTGATTTTTCCCATTTCAATTATTTCTTCACCTCATTATGCGTCTCATGGCTCTGGAAGAGTCTGAGTGTGTGTTTGTTTGTTTAAAGGGGGGGGGGGGGGCGAGAAAAGATTAAAGAGCGCTGCGCTCTCCTCCACCTTCCCAAACACACACACACACACACACACAGACGCCGCCTCCGCTTTGACTCTCTGATTGATTCTCCTTAAAGGACGAATCGCATGTGACTCGAGCCAGAACTACTACTAATGACGCAGCCGCCCGAACTTTTAATGGGTGCACTCGTCAGAGTGGCAAACTCTTTGACTCGCACGCCACCCACCTCCAACCTTTTCATCTCCCTCCGTCGTATTCCTTCTTTCAAACTCAGTTCAATTCATTAGCGGATGTGTGCAGCATCTATTAGAGGTTATGTGACGTCGCTCTGCTGCTACATTCTGCCTCCGGTAATCACTGCATTAGTGCAGCGTCTGAGAGACCACACATTAGCTGGGAATTAGATTAGCACGCCGACCTGTGGAAATGAAACCAAAACTGGCTCCACCTCTTCCTGACCTGCGCGTTGATGGTTTCTTGGTATTTTTTTCAGCCTTTTTTACTTTTGAGAAATAACAGAAAAACAGAAACTTTCAAGCGGGCGACCTCCAGGTCCCGAGAAGGGACGTGAGCCTGCGTTTTTTTCTATCAGCCATCAGGGTCGACTTCCTCTGGGTTGATTGTATAGAAGTCATTAGTCTACTTCCCCCCTTGATTTATTACCTTAGAAAAGATTGTAAACGCAGCACCACACTGGTTCCTAAGCTCCTAAATCTTCATCAATTCAGCTTCAAGTTCATTTTGTACCTTCTAGTGCCATTTACAATTAAACGTAAGAGTAAGTTTATGGATTAATTCCGCTTTAAGCAGACATCGGTCACTTAAAGCGTGGCTAAGAAAGGCTTTTTAATTCTCCAACCCATAAAAACCAGCCCGGCCCAACGGGACGTTTTTCTAACAAACGTGAACAACTAACACAGAGAGAGAGAGAGTTCGGAGGGTGACACATGGGCCGACTTTGAAAAACCACAAATGAAATGAGCGGCGTGTTCAAACGGATCGATAAACTTTAGATGGATCGCGCACAATCTCTGGAGACCTGCTGGAGATTAGATTATTGATTTAAAATGAAAAAAAAAAAGCCTGTCTGTTATGATGCGTTGAGCACAGACAGAAGAGGCGGCGCTTTGAACGGTCGACCTCCTGTTACATTGTTCTGTGTGACGCCTCTGAAAGTACAGGTAGTGCTGCTGCAGCCGGAGGAGGATCTGGTCCCAGCTGCTTCTGAATAAGCTGCACATATGCCAGCGTCTCACGGAACAGTTTGTCCCCGTGAGACTTAGTCCGCTCGCTTTGTCATTGTTGCAGTGGCACCAGCTGGAGCTGGGGCTGGGCCTCGGCCGGGAGCAGCATCCTGGCTGAGTTCGGGACCCTCCACCTGGAGTTCGTCCATCTGTCGGAGCTCTCCGGGAACCCCGTCTACACGGAAAAGGTACCACAGCGCAAACCCGGCGCCCACTCCTCCGTCGCCGGGGGTGCGGCTTTGCGAGCGCGCGGTTTCTCACGTGTTCTTTGGCGCCCCGGGTGTCTCGGCAGGTGATGAACATCAGGAAACTACTGAACAAGATTGAAAAGCCCCACGGCCTGTACCCCAACTTCCTCAGTCCGGTCAGCGGCAACTGGGTCCAACGTAAGTACTGCGTCACGCCGAGGGTTGCGGGTTTCATTCCTAGCGAAGGACGAGGTCCAATGGCGCTCTCTGCATGCGTCTAATCCCTAAAGGGGAGTCCGACATTTCTGCCCGTTCTGACTGGCTTCCCCGGCTGTCACTCACCCATTCGCCTATTTCCTTTCACTTTTAATATCAGGCTCGCAGCAGTGGCTGTATACCCCCACCACGCCCACCCCCCTCCTCCCACTGCTCCGGGTTATTAAAACGAAAATGAATTCAATTACTTCAGGAAATTGGATCTTTCCGATTCACCTGAAAGGAGTCGAAAAAGAGATGCGACGCGATAAAGGCGGAGCAGCGGTCACCTCGATGATTACACGCGTTAATTGTTGTGGCTGAGCGGGCGGCGACGCAATACTGTGCGTACATATTACAACCCGGGGGGTGATAACGCGGCGGGGTGTGTGTGTGTGTGTGTGAGAGCACTGCAATATCACACCCGTCGTCAACGTGACCACGCGAGCCCCCAATTACCCGGAAAAGACAACAAGAAAATGCAGCTTATTTAGGATATTCAACACTGTGATTGCAGATTATTAGGCGGTCGTGTGAATCTTATCTGGGTTTCTCGTGGGTTTAGCACAGTTACATTTGAGACTCGTTGCCGCTGGATCGTTATTTAGAGCGTGTTTCACAGCAGTATTACATTTGTAATAACATATTTCAGCTGGGATAATTAGCATTAAACAGATGGATGTATTGACGCATGAAAGTGATCTATCCATGAATGTTGCCCATTATAAGTTAACATTTCAGGCAGCCTGAATCAGTCCCGTCGGTGACCTCGCTGCAGACCTCCATACGGATCCGCTTCCCTCTTATCCCCCGTTCTTAGATCACGTCTCCATCGGCGGCCTCGGGGATAGTTTCTACGAGTATCTGATCAAATCCTATCTGATGTCGGACAAGACGGACGGGGAGGCGAAGAAAATGTACTACGGCGCGATGGAGGTATGGATCATCTGCTCTTTACATCTTTCACGGCTGCAAACCAACCCGAGTTCCTTCATCTGCTGAGGGGGATTGTGTCGTTTTGTCCGGACGTCTGCTTCCCGGCGTGCGACAGTGAAATGGGGGCAGAAGCGCGTTCCCTGTCCTGCAGGAAAGCTGCACCTTCGGATGGATTTGAATTGATCGATGAGGGTCTCCATCTCCGCTCCTCTGACCCGGCGTCTCATCAATCATATCGTTTGACATCATCCGAGAGCTGCTGCCGCTTTTATTTGTTTAATCGCATTTCATGCGGCTGCAGTCTTTGGGTTGATGCGACGGCATCAAAAATTGAAGCCAAAGCGACAACCGGGGAATTAGACCTTTGTGTTAAAGAGCCACAGCATTTACATACCAAAGTGCACGTCTGAGTGTGTCTCGCCTGCACTTAAGACATAATGGAGTGCTGGTGCGGAGCAGAGTCGCCCCTTGTCACTCCAAACCGCCGGGGCTATTTTTATGCAAAGATGTTTAGAGGATTCTGTCTGCCGTTGACTCTCGGCGGATGCCGGGCCGCGGCGGGGGGCAGGGGAGGGAGGGGGGCTTTTATTCGAAAGCGCGGCGGCGTGATTACATGCAGCCGGAGTGCTTTTGTGACAGAGGGGCAGGAGGGAAGGAAGATGATATCGAGGAGGAAAAGCTTTCTGCTGCCGCATAATGCGATCTGACAGTAACCGACTCGTGTATTTATAAACCGTCGAGCACTCGCATTACCCTGGGAGAGAAATCTGTGCATACATGAACTCACCGCACAGTATGGAAAACATAAGAAAAAAAAAAGCCCATCAAACTCCACCTGTTTCCGTCCTTAATGGAGATAAAAGCACATTCCCTGCGGCTACGTTAACCGCATCACACGGCACGACCGCTAATTGCCGACTGGCCTCCTCTCCTGTGACTTGGTGTTTAAATGTCTGATGTTGTGTTACAGACTGTGTGTTTGTGCGGAGATGTGACGGTGCAGCACGACTCTTTATCTTTGGAGTTCAAATACAAGCAGATTACTAATTAAAACACAGTGATTTTCCAATCAGACAATGACGTCATTACTGCTAACAGGTAATTAGCAGTAGAGCCACGAGAACGAGTGTTTTGTCCTCAACACGTCCCATCTAACGCTCTTTTAGCGGGAAAGGACTCTGGACGGAGGGCGAGGACGGGTTTGTTTCTCCTTTTTCTTTTTCCAAGCGCATCCTAAATGAGGGGAAGGAAAACAGTTATGAATTAATGGACCTTAGATTAGAGAGGGAGTTCAAACTTTGAATTATGAGCACTTTGCGGGGTGTCGAATAACACAATAAGTGAGCAGAGACTAGATGAGAAGGAGGTGGAAGAAATCCTTCTGTTCGAGAGAGAGAGAGAGAATGAGAACCTCTTCAGAAATTCTGTCCTTCGAACTTTTATGTTCTGTCTCTTAAAACAATCGAAATGCCAGACACGAAAACACATTTGCATCTTAAAAAATGTCTCCCTTTGATTTTCTCCGCCTCGTCCATCTGTCTTTTGATCATTTATTAAAGAGGCTGTTCTGGACCTCTTCACATGACATCTCTCATAGGTCCTTTGCTGCTGTTCTCATACATCATTTACTACATATAAATGCAGACGTTTACAGTGTAAAAGACAATATATAGTGTCCACACACTCCGACTTTCATGTGAAACAATGTCTGTAGATTCTCAGATTGGGAATTTGAGAGGTTCTGTCAGTGTTTGTGTCATTGCTTGTGTTGATGCATCCCCACAAAGTACTACAAGACACATCCAGCACGGCAATAGTATTCCTGTCCTTGTGTTGCCGCAGGCGATTGAAGCCAACCTGGTGCAAAAGTCCCCCGGCGGTCTCACCTACATGGCCGAGTGGAGGGGGGGGATCCTGGACCACAAGATGGGCCACCTGGCCTGCTTCTCGGGAGGCATGATCGGCATCGGGGCCGACGACGGAGCGCCGGAGAAGAGGCAACACTTCCTGGACCTGGCCGCCGAGATCACGCACACGTGCCACGAGAGCTACACCCGCTCGGGTGAGTTGAAATTTCGGGGGGGTGGGGGGGGGGGGGCGCCGGAGAGGGTCACTCCACCTTTTGAGGGGGCAGCAGATGAGTAGCTGCTGCTGCTGCTGCTCACTTGGGTTTGGGTCAGCGCTTTATTTATAGTGAGAAATAAGTGGACGCTCCATCCCTGCGCAGCAGTCTTTACCCGTCTCTCCTGAGAGAGGCTTCGGCCTTCAGAGTAAGAGCGCGGGATATTGTAAATTAAACAGGGCCTTAGGCAATTTAGCTCGGACTCAAAATAAGAATCACTCGGTGTGGTTTCGCCTCGGCGGAGAGAGACAACAGGCCGAATAAGGAGCAGGGGAGAATTAAAGTGGTTGATTATTCTCCAACGTCTCACGGCTGTGGGCAGCAACAGCAGACGTGGAGGTGTCTCAAAGTGTGTTAGATACTGATAATCACATGTTATTATAATTCAGGAGGAAGAATGAAAAGAAAAGGTGAAAACGCAGGCAGAAAGTGTGTGAGAGTCCACGGGAAAATGGACTGCGGCTCCAACCTGTGAATGGCAGAAAGGAGTAGTTTCCATAGATACACAGGATATATATTTATATATATCCCCGAGAGAAAAATGCAATCTCGAATGAAAAAGGAGAGGACGCCTGCCTTCATTTATTTTTTTTGGAAAGGCTTTTTGATCTCTCCTCTTCCCTGCCATCTGTCTTGGCCCTGACATTAATCTCCTCGGCTAATTTCAAGCCGCCTCCCTCCCTCCCTCCCTCCCCCACTTCGCTTCGCCTTCACTCCTCCCGTCAGGTGACGTGACTCATCACATAACCCGCTCCTTGATTCGCCTGGAATACTTTTGATCTGCGGGCCCCGTAAGGATCGTCTTTTCGCGGCCCTCCTGCAGGTTCCTCTCAGCTGATCCGAGGGGGACCCGACGGGGCCCCCCAGCAGCTCCTGGGCCCTGCAGAGAAGGAGGGGAGGCGAGAGGGCTTTGCTATTGCACCGGCTGCTGTTAAGCTTTGTCTTAAATAGCGACACCTCGGCTGCCGCTGAGGACATCTGCCACCTCTACTGACACATGCTGATACCCGGGAAACGAATACATTCCTGCCAATAGTTTTAAACTATAGTGCATTGATCCACTTGTGGAGGTAAATGAAAGAAAAGCAGCAATGCATTAACAAAGGCAGAGGAGAGGAAAACGAAAAAAAAAGCTGGATGTACACAATTGAGGGAAATAGTGAAAGGATAAAGGACAGGATGTGCCATGTTTGGTTTGTTAGTAGACTCGCATGATTCCAATTAAAAACCACAACTTGGCCCGTTCAACGCGCTACAGATGGTGGTACGTTATGAATTCGACCCGTTTTTGCTTACAGGATTTGAGGTTAATGTCCTTGGAAAACAAGCCCGCCTTCACTAGAATCGGATGAAATCTACTCCCAGCAGGGAAATAAATATGTGTCACTTCAATGGGCTCATTTAGAATAAAGGTTTACTCCTTCATGTGGATGTGGTAAATAAAGACAACATGAAACGCTGTCGACTCAAAGTAGTAATTATGCTTCTTCTGCTTCTGGATTGACATCACATTTTGTGTTTGTTTTTTCTCCTATCTGAGCGGAGAGTCAAAACATATTGTAAAGCCCCACGAGACATATTTCCTTTCTGAAACTGGATGAATAAAATGTTCCTGTTGAATTGAAGCAACCGATTCAGCCGCTGCGTTTTTCAGGCTTAACGGTTTTTACCAGTTTTTCCGTCTTGTCCCCCGATTTACTCCCAAATGTACCACGTCATAGAGTCAAATGATCACACTTAAGCCTGCGTGTTAACGTGGAACAGAAGATATTTCATGCCTCTTCTTATTCACACGGCAGACGACTAGTTGACCATTGGCGATGTTAAAAAACCAACTGAACATTTTCTCTCTCTTTGGCCTCCGCCAGCAACCAAACTGGGACCCGAGGCGTTCCGATTCGACGGCGGAGGGGAAGCGACGGCGACCAGGCTGAGCGACCGATACTACATCCTGCGACCGGAGGTCATCGAGAGCTACATGTACATGTGGAGGCTGACGCACGACCCCAAGTACAGGGAATGGGGCTGGGAAGCCGTCGAGGTGAGAGAGAACCTCCTGTCTTTTAAAACGTTTCAACAAAAAACATTTTTATCACACACATCTACTCTCGGCCTCCCCGAGATGCTTCAGTCTGAAGATAACGGTTTTCATCTCTGGGGACTTTTTAACATGAAGCCTCCACGGTGAGGTGGATGTCAGATTCAATTCCCTGGAGATCCAAAGCTAAAGGTGGTGCAGGATTTTTGTGCCTCAGTAACAGAAAGCCGTGTTTTTAGATGTAACAACCAGAGAGAAATATTGCCCTGTATTCAGACTATTACGGTAAAAAGACAAACATCTCCTCATTTTTAAGTGGGAGATGCAGTAAAGTATCATTTTCTTTCCGAGACTTCTCGCCCCACAGTAACTTAGACTCGGAATTTATGAATTGTGCAAACCTATAATGTCAAGCCCCTTTAACACCCTCAATTACCCTCAACCGGCTTCCTTGATATGCTGCAGGATTATACATTAACTCTGTAGATCCGGCCATCCCACGGGCCGGGGGTGAAGGTTGTGCGGCGAGCACCATTATTAATGTGGCAACGGACAGCACATTAGCCGTAGCAAACCGCGCCGGGCCGGCGTGATGGATTTAGCGTTCATTTAGTGTGCACACGAGTGGAGAGATCCGGGCCGACGACTTTGACGGGCTTTTAATTATCCGGCGCAAAAGGTTGCAAGCGGTGCGCGGCGCTTCCCTCTCCGTGAACATCGGTGCATTAACGCGTCGGGGGTCTTTGTTAATTAGCACGTGCGAGCCGGCCCCTTTGTAGGAGGGGTTACAGTGCGCTAATTCACCGCTCGCCATCGGGCCTCGTTCAGGTTCAGCGTCGCCGAGGAGCTTTTACCAGTAAGGTTCCCTCTCAGGAGCTTGAGCACACGGCCGTGGCTGATATTTATCGACGCGGTCCTTTACCTTCAGGCCCTCGAGCAGCACTGCAGGGTGGAGTCGGGCTTCTCCGGGATCCGAGACGTTTACACCATGACAGCCAGCCACGACAACATGCAGCAGAGCTTCTTCCTGTCAGAGACCCTCAAGTAAGTCCCGCTTTGACGTCACGTGTCGTATCCAATCAAACTCCCTATTCTGCATCATGTGACCTTTTCCAGGTGGCATAAGTATTGACGTAACGATGGAACGTCTTCCGTCTTCCTGAGAGCCTCCTGCTAGCAACAGATTTAGTGGCAACGGGGAAAAAACAAGGAATATGTTCAAACATATTGTGTTGTAATGTAGTTTATTACCAGTACTGACACGTACTTCCTTGTGCACAGGACACACAACGCTTAAGATTTATGCTGTTTAATCAGCAATGGCAGCCACGTGAATTGGACAAAATTGCTAAATTAAGAGGCTAGATAAAAATAAATGGGAGGCAGTCAGCAACGAGAGTACGGATCCTTATCAGTTCGGTTCATTAACGGTAAACTTATCTGTTCCATTTCACTACTGAATAATTGCTGGCTGATATGTTATTAGAAAAAAAAAGAACTGAAAACAGGATTACACTTTATTAATATCATAGATTCAGCTAAGTGTTTTCTTGAGAGGGACTGCGTGGATTCACTCGTTAGCCACTTTTAATTAGAAAAAGAGTTTAACGCTGCGCACAACTCTGCATATTGATTTGCAGTTTGTTTGTCTTTTTCCACCATTTAGGCCTCTTCAAAGAACATGAGATCGAAAACTTTTATCATCTACCCGCTTCCACTACGCGCCGGTTTAAAAGCCGCTTAAAAAGGCCCAGCAGTTTAGTTTTTTATCAAATGTTAAGCAATTTAGACACAATCCGAAAATAAATAATGTTCTTTAAAAGGTGGAGATCCAGTTTCGCCGGCTCCTCTCTTCGATGCCAAGTGTCAGCGTTTGTTCCGCGGGGGCAGCGCGGTCGGCGACTGCTGACCGCCGCGTTCGCGCAGCAGGACGATAACCAGGTTCCTCAAACCGCACAGGTCACGCGTCATTGGCACGGTGGTTCCTGCAGTCGGGGGCCAGCGATTTCGCACCCTACAAATCCAGATCTCAGCTGCCGGAGAGACCGACTAATAAAATACTTCAGGGGGGCCTTTTAAAATAAGTCTTCTTCCCTCTCATCCCACTGCGTCTCCCCCCCTCCACCCCCCCTGTGCTGCTCAGGTATCTGTACCTGCTCTTCTCCGACGACGACCTCCTCCCGCTGGAGGACTGGGTCTTCAACACGGAGGCCCACCCGCTGCCCGTCATCCGCAGGAGCTGCGCGCAGGACGAGGCCACGCAGGACAAGACGTCCTCCGAATGAAGACCGGACGCCCCACGTCCACCTCCCCCCCCCACTCCCCCCTCACTCCACACCTCCACCCGGGACGGAGGCGTCCCCGCGGTTCATGTGAGTCGCCGCAGGGAGAGGCGGACTTTTCACGGAGCGCGTCGCGTGACTCTCTGACCCGCTTCCCAGTAAAAGGACGCCGTCGTTTTGCGGAGTGATTGTGTAACCTTTCGCCCCAGGAGGGGGAGGGTCACTCCCTGCTGGCGATTCTAATTCTTCTTCTTCTTCTTCTTCTTTTTTGTGACCAATCAAGACAAACATGACTTTCTTTCCTTCTTTCCTCTATGAGGAAACCAGTATAAGTCGCAGAGTGTTTGCAGTGGGAGGAGGGTTGAACTTTGGGCCGTACTGTGAGGAAGACCTGAGTTTGCTGTTTCGTTTTACCTTAAGCGATGAATGATGTCCGTACGTTGTCATCTTTTCCTTTGTGAGTCCACTCTTTGACCAAAGGTTGCTTTGCATTTATACTTCCCTACTTTCCCCCGTAATGTGTTTTTGGTGCGTCTTGACCGAAGGTGAAAATTAACAAGAGGCTTGAGTTCTAATGAGCGTTGATTAATGTACAGACAAACACAAAATGCGATTCTGAAATTCAGCTTTAAGCCGATGTTGATGTCACGTTTCCTCCTGAAAGGAGCTTGAATGAATTTTAAAAGTTCGGCGGTGTCTGGGAAGCGGCAGTGTCTTATGCATCCGGGGACACGGGTCCAGTCGTCCCTCTGAATGCTCGGGTTATTCTGTGAAAAAGGCCGAGCCTGCTCCGTCCCCTCCAATCAAAGTCACAAGCGGCGTCCTGTCAATTAGTTCTGTGGCCGTGACACTGGCATCGTGTGGGGGGGGGAAAGAACCCATCGTCCTGTTTCTGTTGTGGTTTCTCTGCTTCACGCTGCCTTTACTCGTGGATCCACGCGGCGGCCCGGCACTGACGTTAAAGGCGGTGAGGGATTCCATCTCCAGCGCCGTTCGTCTCTGCTGTCCTGCACACCTGTGGAGTGAATGTGCTTGTACATACAGATGTGTGGAAGACCCCTGTATGAGCTTCTATCGATTTTATTTTGTGATCAAATTGTTCTTTCTTTTCCCGGTTTCTCTTTTTGATTTGCTTCCCTCAGGTGTTTAAGTAAAAAAAAAAAAAAAACTTTTAAGTCTAGTTATCGCTGATATTAATTATTACTTATTCTTACTGTTTGATTATTCTTTCATTGTTGGATATTTTCAAATACTGATAAAAAGACCTGTGCAACTTTGTACATTTCAAACAATCCTAGTTGTTGTGTGTGTGTGTTTTTTTAATCTCCGCCTTGTTTGCTTATGTAAATACAAAGTTAAACTATTCCCTACTTTCTATTCTGTATTTGTGTATTCATTAAGTCAGAAGTGACTTACAAAAAGGAAAGAATCATTACAGGTTTAATTGGAGGGCGATTTGGAAAGTCACAGATCACAGCGAGGAAACCGCTGCTCGTCTCTCGCGGTGTCATCAAAGCAAAATGTAATACTTTCCTCCCAAAGGATTTGACTCCACCTGCTGCCCCCTGAATCCTATTGTTTGATTTCTCATTTGTTTTAAATATAATTGTCATGGACAGGGTTGACATTTTAAAAGGTGGTACTTGAATTTACATTCATCACCTTAAACAGAGGACTAATACGAAGGTGTTTGGTTTTACATAATAAGGGCACATGTTGCTGAAGTTGAAGCCTGCAGCGCTCTGAACCGAAGGTGTGATGATTAAAAGAAGAAGGGCACAATCTGAAGCGGGAGCTTCACAGTCCCTCCGAACGCCTGCGAGAGCTAAAGGACAAACGGATAATCCGCCGCAGCTTTGCTGTCCCCACCAGGGCGTAATAATAATAATAATAATTTAGATCTGGTTCAAATATTACTTACTACATTTTAAGAACACATTCTACTCCACAAACCCTCAGTTTCAAGGAAACACACTAAAAGCATTGTTTTCAAGCTAGCCCTCAAGCTAGCCCTCAACTAGCCACCCGAGCCGAACGCGTGTTGGGACAATTCTGTGATGAGCTTTGTCCGATATACGGCTCCTACGTCATATGAGGGACATCTAAAAAACTGAAATTGTCAATAATAGGTATGATAGTGTCGTAACACGCTATGCTAACTACTTCCATTCTGTACGAGGTCATTTTTTCAACTTAAAATATAAAGAATTATCTGCATACAATATTATTCCCTTTTACATGATTGACTTGCATGTGAGATACTGTGACTTTTTATGACTTCTTTTCCAACACGTACAGGACTGAGAGGTTTTACTGACATGCTGCACGGCGGAGCTGCACACGGTGGAGCTTCTCGGCGGAGATGCACACGGTGGAGCTGCACGGTGGAGCTGCACACTGGAGCTTCACAGTGGAGTTTCTCGGTGGAGATGCACACTGGAGCTTCACAGTGGAGCTTTACGGTGGAGATGCACACGGTGGAGCTGCACACTGGAGCTTCAAAGTAGAGATGCACACGGTGGAGCTTCTCGGTGGAGATGCACACGGTGGAGCTTCTCGATGGAGCTGCACCGTGTTCCTCTTCCTCATCGCAATGTTAGATGACCTGTGTTTTTCGAGAATTTCTGCTAACAAAGTTCAAAATTTGATTATTGTTGGTTTTTATTTTATTCTATAGGATAATATTTACAACATAATATTTACTAAATTCACACTGTGCATCCCAGCTTTGCTGCAGCCCTGCATGCTTTCCCTCCTCTGACAGGCTGATCACAACCCGCTGATGTGCACATTTATAGCAAAACTCTCTAAGATGTCCAATAACACAATACAATGGACTATACAATGGACTTATTGCGTTACTACCAGCTATGTTAATGGTATGTATGATTAAATATGAATATAAATTAAAAGCAAGGAAAGAGTAACAATTTCTCTAAATCAGACTAGTTAATTAGAATTTCAATAATGAACAGCAGGGGACAAAGCAGAGTAGGTTTCCATGTAATCCATATCATCCAATCATCAAAACAAATGCAGTGACCTTTACTTTCTCAAACCATCAAACAATATTCACTTTCCAGGGTGCAAACTTCCTGATTTCATGCTAAACACTGTCTTGAAGTCAGATGCAGTATTTTTACTCCAACAAATGCTGTTGTTCTTTTCTGGGTTTGAAAACATCCAAATGGAAGATTGAAAATATTTTAATAATCAAATCAATTTGTGTCCGTCCTCGACTTACTGTGGAGTGAGTTCAATGCAAAGCTCTTTAACAAAAGGCCCGAGTAGTGAAGTCACAAAGAGGAGGCGTGAGACTGTAAAGCAATGAACTCGTCTTACACCTCGTAAAATGAAGAGTAAGGTACTTCGTGATCAGTTATCCAGAGTAACAAGACCCGTCTTGCAAAACATCCCATATTGTGTCCCCTTCCTTCCTTTTTACCAGCCACCCTGAGAGGAAATAGCTGTGGTTAACAAACCATGAAATTGTGCTGACAAGACGCGAGAGGAAGAGGAAAAGAACAGAGTTTAAATTGAAGTCTTAATTTGAAAGGCCGCATTCCACTGAATTAAATGACAGTCTGAAATATTGTGAAAAACTAAGTGCAGGCATCAGATGTCAATCTCACCAAACCCCCCCTCCCCTACAGAACCACCCACAAAAACATCATTTAGCAATAATACAAGAGGAAGGAGTAAAGTCTTACATGTGATGATTCTTCCTTGTGAAATATCTTAACCGGTAGATTAACTGTTAATGCTTGTCTGCTTTTTGCGATTGAACGCGCCGTATTAATCAGCGGCACCAAATGACTGGAGCGCGCTTCCGTTTCCACACGCCGGCCTGTGAGCTGAGGATCCTCACAGGAGCTCTCAGCAGTGTAATTAACTTATCTTGGGCATCCACAAAACAGGCATTATAGGTTTTTAATGCGAATATAATCATCTGATCGTTATCTCAACAGACAGATTATAACAAGGAGGTTATCCCGCAGATCTGAAACCCCTGCTGCGTTTTGAAGACTTTCCACCATTTTTAAACGTATTGTGGCGATGAAGATGGAGATGAAGCGCAACATACGGAGGGTAATGAGTGCAGGACGGAGCTCCAAGTTCTGGTTTTTGGTTTCACTTCACATGTTTGCTTTGTTTTTGCGATTGAATAAAACATTTGAGGATTCATGAAAAAAACAAAATCAATAGTTTTCCTCCTTTATTTGGCCATCCGGGGTAAATGGACGGATCGACAGCTGGAGGATGGTTTGGATGTTGGACTGTGGGTTTGACACATTGGATTTGGGGCTGTTTGCCCTTTTTTTTAGTTTCTTCAATTCATCTCAAATATAACTATGAACTAGCAAATAACACACTGAAAAGAAGTTAGTTTTGATTCATTTTTCGCCACCGAAACTGTACGTTACTTAATATTATCGTTGTCTGAATTCATAGCAAAGCGATTTTCGGGCAAAAAGGAAACTGCACTTTCAGAAGAGTGTCTGATGATGAGAGAGCTTAAACAGAGAATAGATTTAAATCAGGAGGAAAGACCCTTAAACCAGGCAGCACTAGAATGTAAAAAAAGGATGTCATGCGGTGATCAATCTGATTATCCATTTAGATGGTGGGGCTGGCCTGTAAACTGAGCGTCCACATAAAAGCCAAATGCAAATGAGCATGCTCGGCGCCCGGCGCTCGGCGCGATACCCTTTGAGTTTCTCCATTGTGACCTCTGGTCAATCCACACATCCAATCATCACCGCCGTCTGCAGAGGTTCTGCAATGACACCCTTGTTTGTTCTAAATCAGAAAATAAAACTATTTTGATGACTATCGGCCCACGCTCACATCTCGCTAATTGCCCATGAAGTCATTTCCATAAATAATATCTCCTGCTTATTACAAAGGGCCCATCTGTCACAGGCGAGTGATCACCTGAGCACAGTGACTTTGAGAAACGGCTCTTACGCTCCTTCATTGGAACACTCAAAATGACGTCCTGCTGCTCACCGTCTCAGTCTTTCATAGAGCAGAATATAACACTTACATCCATGCTTTTAGTTCTTTAGGGATGGCGGTGTTTAATAAGGTGCGAGGGAGGTTTGTAGATACGCTTTTTGTGAGGGATTTCAATAGCAAAGGTGTATCCATGGTACATTAAAGGGACCCCAACCCCAGAATTAAAAATATATACGTGCATATTGCGTATGTAGAGTAGCTTTGCTGTCTGAAGCGTTGATGTTGCATGTATGCAAATGTCAATCCGATGGCAAAACGCCCGGATGGTAATCTTTACCACATTCGGCTCAATGCTCGTCAACGTAAAAATTGATGTGTGACTACGAGCTAACGGAGGGTTGCAAAATATATGGAATGACTGAACTGTTATCCCAATAAGCATGGTATCAGTCTCTCGCGTCTGTGGCTTTCACCTTCTTAAAAAGACAAACATTGTCACAACTTGTGCTCCTGTAATCGGGCTGCACCTTTTATTTCCACGTGTCGGATCAGAACCGAATGCCTCCAATCAGACGGAGCCCAGTAGCTGATTGTTACAGGGCTGTTTCAGTTCAGATTCTGCTTCGTTTTATGGGTCGCTTAGAAGAAAAAGAATGAAAAGTCTCAACAGAATGACTAAACTTCAAAGTGTCATACAATCTGACGCCAGCTGCCGCCGCCGCGTATAAAGAGCTGCGAATCAGCTGACATTAAACTTGCGTGACTAACACAAGTTTAACGCATCTTGGATTTGAACGAGCACCTGTTAATCAGAGCAACAAAGCAAATATTACTGCGGACAGACAATTAAGCAATTTACATGCTCCATTTGACTGCTGACCCCGATGTGCACCACTGTTTTCAGTTCCAGGAGGCGCTGCGTGCGTCTCTAATCTCCAGTGTTATTGGTGAATGGCAAATGCCCACAAATGCTCGAGTTGAGATAACGGCCTTTTTAATTTGAATTTCTTCAGGAAAACATTCCGAGAGGACGGAAGTTAAGAGAAATACGAAAAGGTTCTGAGTGACTGAAAACGCATCCGAGAGCCGCGATTACATTTTAAACCCTGAATAGACTCAACTTCATTTTTCAATAGCCGTCCATGTTAAAAAACTGAACAGACAGACTCACACAAAGGCGGCAGTGTCGTGCGAGTTCTTTAATATTAACAGATTAGAATGTCAGCGAGAGACTCCTCGCCATCAGTCTTATATGCATTTACATAATGTTTACCATTTCAGCTGAGCTCGTGTTTTCTTGTATCGTCTCGCGATCCCAACGTGCTCGATTGGGCTTCACAACATGGATGCAAGACACGCCGCTTTTTTACCTTTGATGAGATGCCGCCTCTGAGAGGACTTAATTATATCTTCATA